AAAATAAAAAGAAATTTGCCTGGGCAACTAAAAATATTAAAAAAAAAATAAAAAACATTAGCCGGGTGTAGTGGCACACACCTGTAGTCCCAGCTACTTGGGAGGCTGAGGCAGGAGGATGGTTTGAGCCAAGGAGTCTGAGGTTGCTGTGAGCTAAGCTGATGCCACAGCACTCTACCAGGCAACAGAGTGAGACTCTGTCTCAAAAAAAAAAAAGAAAAGAACTTGGCATGCAGTCTTGAACAAAGGACTTAGGTTCCATGCCTTCACGAACCTAATAAATTAGAAGGAAAGACAAACAGGAAATGAATATACAATTACAAATTGTGGTAAATACTGAAAAAAGGGGAGAAAAGCATAAGCTGAAATTAGAGTGTCGTGGGGGGGAGGGGTGGTTCCTTGAGGAAGTAAGGTTTAAGCTGAGCTTCAAACGATGAGTAAGAGCCAACCAGAGAAAGAAAGTGCGCCCTGGGCAGAGAGAATAACCACAAAGTATGGCTCTTGCTAGAACCATATCCCTTTACAAGATAAAATACCACATTTCTCTCAGAAATGGTCTCATAATTCAAACTCAAGCATGCTGTTTGTGTCTGTTGCCTCCTTTGAGTCTAATAGTCCATGAATATAATTATTCAGAAACTGCAACATGGCAGAATATAATTACTATGTGAGAAAAAGGAGCTGTTGGCATATGAGAAAAGTCAAAATCCTTTGATGTTCTTAACCTACTGCATCAACCTTGAGCAGTTCTGCAAAGATTGGCTATCTTGTGGTTTGATCTCTGAATGATCTAATTATTTTTGGAAGGCAGAGGAGCCATTTACCCAAATCTCTCTAACTGCCAGGAAACCTCTTACAGCAGGTAAGACAGACAATGTCGCTCATCTTATCTGCAGCAAAATCAGCAATCCAGTCCTTTAAAGCAACACTTCTTGCTAACTTCCTCACCAATGCAGAACTCAGCCCTCCTTGCCCAGGGCTTCTACCAGGGTGTCTTCACTGACATGTCCCCACTAGGGATCCTTAAGCATGTGCACTTCAGGTATGCCACGTTCCAGTCTTTTCATAACCATATGACACATCATGACTTATAGTGGCTCTAGGTCCTTCAGAATGACATGTATCTTGAGCTTCTGCTCAATAATAAAACACTAACATAGGATACCTGACAGTCTTCTGTTCCAGATACTACTTCTGGACAGCACTGGGGTGTTACAGAACCAAGCATTTTTTTTTTTTTTTTTTGAGACAGAGTCTCACTTTGTTGCCCAGGCTAGAGTGCTGTGGCGTCAGCCTAGCTCACAGCAACCTCAATCTCCTAGGCTCAAGCAATCCTGCTGCCTCAGCCTCCCGAACAGCTGGGACTACAGGCATGCACCACCATGCCTGGCTGATTTTTTCTATATATATTAGTTGGCCAATTAATTTCTTTCTATTTATAGTAGAGACAGGGTCTCGCTCTTGCTCAGGCTGGTTTTGAACTCCTGACCTTGAGCAATCCACCCACCTCGGCCTCCCAGAGTGCTAGGATTACAGGTGTGAGCCACCGGCGCCCGGACTATAGTTCTTTATAAAATAATTTTATTTCTTCTTTTCTTCTTCTTTTTCTTTTAAGAGCTGGGGTCTCACTATGGTGTTCAGGCTGGACTCAAACTCCTGACCTTGAGCGATCCACCCACCTCAGCCTCCCAGAGTGCTAGGATTACAGGCGTGAGCCACCGCGCCCAGCCAACATCCTGGTCTTTGTGGTGGAATTTTACCACTTCACCTGAACCCCTCTCTCCACCCCACTCTTACCCTCACCCCACGTGGGTTACCCAACTGTGAGCATGTATCACTTCCTCTGATAAATCTTCTCTAGGCTGATGTTACACAATTGAAAACTCGTAATAACCCACCACCACTACCACTCTTCTATTTATGGAGTGATCTCTATGTGACGGTGAGTGTTTACTTTACATGCCTGACTCATTCACTACTACCTGTGAAAAAGGCATCATTATTATTATCAGCCCCATTTTACGAATGATGACACAGAGGCAGAGAGGAGTTAACAGACGTAGTGGGATTTGAACCAAAGCCTATCCCTGCCAAAGCCCAGGATTTAGCTACTAACGTCCATGGGTAATATGATCCCACCATTCCTGGTTTTTCTCCCCTCTCAGACTGGCTTTCTTCAATGACCTCTAAATCATGAAGGACCTAGCTCCATGGGCCCCCTTTGATCTGATGGCCAAACTGAGTGACACGTGGGCTGGATGTCTGCTGCAGCAGGCACACGACCGCCAAACTGACCACAATGTGGCCTGCCCCACATTGCTGCTTAGATGCACCCTGAGATAATGGTCCAGGACCCAGCTTTCCCCCAGCTAGAGCAGCACTAGTGGTCAGGGCTCAGGCTGGGTTGACAATCCCTTCTTCACAGGGTTGCTAGGAGAGACAAGAGAGCACTTGGGCCTCAGTGAATCATAGTTGCTCTCATTCCATCTTAATGCTTTCTTCTGACTTCCTCTGGCTCCCGGGGACTTATGAAACAACTGCCTAACCCAGCTTCTCTTACAGAGCAACTGGAGCAGGAAAAGCCCATGAGAGGTGTGCTCCCCCAACACCTAGCAAGCTCCTACTCAGCCGTTCCAATGGCCGAACCCCTGGGCCACTGGGATCAATAACAAATATCTTTGTGTGCTGTGTAGCTTTTCTCCTGAGCAGGGGTTTACCATGCAGCTCTGGAGCTAGACTACTCTAACTCTGGCTTTGCTGCTTACCAGCTCTGTGACCTTGCATGACTGACTTAACCTTTCTGAGCCTCAGTTTATCATGTATAAAATGGGAATAATAATCATGCCTATCTCACAGGCTTGTTGTGAGCATTATCTCTGTGTCTGTCTTTTTATCTCTCCCTCTACCTATCTATCTAATATACTTGTGTTTCAATCTCATCCACTTTCCAAAAGGATTTTATTAAAAAAAACCACCAAAACTCAAAAAAATCTAAAAATTTATATATATAAAACAACACATGTTTTCTCACAGTTCTGAAAAAAGAAGGAAAAATAACCCCACATATATATATATTGCATAAAGCTAAAATAAAATTCAAAATAATCTTGAAAGTATCATTTTATATCTGTTAAGCCAGAGTAATTTTAAAATAAGTATACCCAATTATAGCCAGGTTAAGGTGAAAGTGGTTTACTCTTAAATTGCTGATACAAATATAAATTGACTCAAACTTTTTGGAAAGCATTTTGGAGATACATTTTTTTTTTTTGCCTGGGCAACAAAGGTGAGACTCCTGGTCTCAGGAAAAAATTAAAAATTT